GTGAGTGTGTGCGATAGGAGTAAAAGGTGTAGCTGGTGTCGCTTCAGTGAAGGTCACAGGGTTGGGGGTTTGGTTGGTTGGTTTGGGGTTTTTTGTGGTTTCGTTTGTTTTGTTTTGGTGTTTCAGGAGCTGCTTTCCAGTTATTCCCCCTCCCAAGCGGTGAGGGGTGGAAGAGGCTGGAGTGATAAATTACCCGGCTCAAGGCAAGCCCACCTCATGAGTCGGAGAAATGCCCTCACAGGGAGCTCATACACTGCCCTGATGGTTGGAGGCGACTCCCTGAGCTTCTGTGAAGAAAGGCTGAGAGAGCTGGGCTTGTTCAGCCTGGAGAAGGCTTCAGGGAGACCTTATTGTGGCCTTTCAGTACTTAAAGGGGGCTTATAAGAAAGATGGGGCAAACTTTTTAGCAGGGCCTGTTGCGACAGGACAAGGGGAATGGTTTTAAACTAAAAGAGGGTAGATTTAGACTAGCTATAAGGAAGAAATTTTTTACAATGAGGGTGGTGAAACCCTGGCACAGGTTGCCCAGAGAGGTGGTAGATGCCCCATCCCTGGAAACATTCGAGGTCAGGTTGGACGGGGCTCTGAGCAACCTGATCTAGTTGAAGATGTCCCTGCCCACGGCAGGGGGGTTGGACTAGTTGACCATTAAAGGTCCCTTCCAACCCAACTGTTCCATGATAATAGTGTAAACTTATCCATTGTCTCTCAGAGTATGCAGGAGAAATGGCTTGCAGCTTTGTAAAGCTATAAATAATGTCAAAACCTGGAACAAATCAGTTTAAGTTAACTTCTTGTATAAAATGAGGATCTGTCAGAAGAGAAATATGTTAGAGCTGTTTGCTGTGGTGAACAAATCATAGCAAGAGTTGGCAAAATATTAAACTGCAACAGACTTCTCATTTAAACAGAAGGCTGATGGATGAATAGGTGGTATGCCGTGTATGCTACTTTATCTCTTAAGATCCCTTCTTTGTATATGGCTGGCAGTCTGGTACACTTAAGAGAAAGAACTAAGATTTTTTTTTTTTTTTTTTAAATTCCAAAAGGGGGACAAATTCTATTGGGCATAAGTCATGCTTTCAATAAAACTTTCCAAGTGCCATTTTCCTCAACTTGAGGAAAATGTTTGTGAGATCAAACTTTCAGTAATACACGCAAGTAACTGAAAAATATCTACTATTGACTGAAAGAATTTGATGTTAATAATACCTGATTTATCTAATTGATATTGTCCTTTATGTCAATCTCTAATTATAGTCTCTGTAGGAAGAATGGGGCAATGAAAGGCAGGTAGTGGCCTTTTGTACACTGGAAAGATCTTGAATGCTAGCAAAATCTAAACCCCATTCTTGTTTCATGCAAACTTTCTGAAGTGCAAGTTGTACAATGCAAGTAATACGTAAAACATGTAGGAAGTTGCTGCTGTGGATGTTTTAATATAGATATAATGCACAGCAATTAAACATAGGCTTTCCTTCTGTATTTGTTATGAAAATATATCATAAGAAGGAAAATATTCATTATGAATATTTTTACTTACGAACTGGAAGTCACCGATGCCTACAGGCAAGGCAAATTAGGTCAAGACCTAGTTACACTTGTAAGTAAACAGCCGTTCTGACTGGGGAGATTAGTTGATAGGACTACAGTCCTAATACCCCCGCCCAGCTTTTTGGAAAACACATAGAAGAAAGTTTGAAAAATGAGCTCATAGAGGAGGGGGGGGCGGGGAGGGGAACACTAGATGATTAAAAGCTACATCTGTAGTTGGATAAAGCTAGTCTGAGAGAGAGAAATCCATCTTCTTTCAATGAATCCATCTTCTTTCAATGGAAGAGTAAAGGCAACAATTAGAAATAAGGAGCTGTAATAAGCTGTCTTTTTTTTAAATCAAGTGTTGAAGCTGTCCATTGAGCGTTTCCTAATCCTGTTCCAGCTGAAATGGGTCAGATACCTTCAATAGTTACAAGCATCTCCTGACTAACCCAGCTGATATTTGAAGTTGTCCATATGTGAAGTAGAAAAATTAATCCCTTTAGCCTTGGGGTCTGGATATGGACTCTTTGACACGCATGATGAGTTGTACAGACCTTTTAATGTGTCTCCCTCTTTGCTACTAGTGTTTCTGTAGAGACCTTTGGTCCATTAAGTACAGTTCTTACCTCCTGTCCCACTCCTTTTTCTCTCCTGGTTTCAGCTGGTAATGCAAAGTAGGGTTTTTTCCTCCATTTTTTCCTTTCTAAAGCAAGGGTTCTATGGTGTAAAAAAGGGAAAAAAAAAAAAAAAGGAAAAAAAAAAAAAAGGCTAATGCTGCCTTTTATTTAATGTTGTCCTGCCATGTCAGTCCTGTGCTGCTTCTGACTGCAAATAAGTCTAAACATACAGGGCAAGCGGAGGGTTGGGGGTGAAAATGGTGCCGAGCTGTAATTGGAGTTCCAGGGGTGGTAACCTTGTGGGCCTCCAAACCCAGGTGCCTGGTGTCCTGCTCAGCCTAACTGGCCAGTGAGCTAGCTAAGCCAGATTTGAGCACCCTCTACAAAAGGTTAAGCTCGTCAGCCTATAAAGCAGCACATACATCTCTTGGATTTAGATAAAACAGATGTATGTATGGCTAAGCCTCTGAACTATAAAAATTGAACGCTGTGTTAAGAGCACGAGGTTCTCCTAGCAACATTAGCTGCAGATTGGTTGATGTTTTCATTCATACTCTTCCATAAACAAAACCAAGATAATACTGAATTTACTGCATCAAGTCTGTTAAACAGACTTCCTTATATGTCCTTCCCCTACAATCAAGTATAATGCCCTTCCAGAATCAGTAGAAGCACAGCAAATGCATTTAGCTAAAAGAAACCAGTGTTAAATTGTCTTGCTTAATGTTAGGAGGAAGCTGATGGGAATATCCTTAAATCAAAACTGATACGAAACTGAGATGTGTCCAAAACTTCTGCTGTATGTAGTGTCACCCTTAGTGGATTTCAAACCTTTTCATTTCCTGGTGATCAGTTCTAACTGTCTAGAGCACTGCAAGTAAGTTGTATTAAGATGGTAGCAACTTGGATCTTTTCTTATATCCACAAATGTTTTTTAAAAAAGTAGTTGCGACTTCTAAGTTAGGAGAAGTTATCTAAAAATCATAAGCAGGATTTTTTTTTTCTCATTTATGTTAATGCTGGGTAAAAGAGCAGAAGTTGATTTGAAAACCTGTAAGCTGAAAGGTGTTTTCCAGTAAGTTGGTTTTTGTTTGGTTTTGGGTTTTTCTTTGTTTGTTTTTGGTTTTGTTTTTCCTTTTGTGAAGTCTTCAGTATTTTATTTTCTCTCACAGTAATTCTAGGCTGCAGAACCAGCCTCAAAGGCACTATGGAATTACCTCTCCGATTAGCTTGGCTCCTCCTAAGGATATAGATTGCATTCATACTCAGAAGCTAGTTGAAGCAATGAAGTTATTTGGGGTATTTGAAGATGAGGAAGAACAGAATCACAGGTATAACAAGGCTAAAAATTGTTAACCTCCAAAACTGTAAAATTTGTTAACCTTTTGGGCTTTTTAAGGCAAACTTAACATGGGTTTTCGTTACAGGCTGGTTGTTCTTGGTAAACTGAATAACTTGGTCAAAGAATGGATTTCAGAACTTGGTGAGAGCAAGGTAAGGATTTTTTTATATGTTCTTATCAAAACAGTTGAAGCCTTTTTATTTCTTTTAAAGGCCATACTACTAGGATTTATGCTAAAGTTCAACTTTTAACTTTCTTCTTAAATATTGAGTAGAGCTATAGTAACTACCATTGAAATAAGGTATAAAAGATATTTCAGATCAAGATCTTGAAGTCTTTAAGGCACTGAATAAATGCGTGAAGTGGCTCTATCAGTTGACTTGTAGCAGTTAACAAATCTGAAACAATGTATTGTGGGGTGAGATAGATGGTAAATGGGCATTCATCTTGCCCCAAACAGGCGACAGCACTCAATCTAGTTTGAAATTATTATACTAGACTTGTCTTTTGTATCGCTCTTAGATTGTGTTAATTTATGTGCCCTCTGCTGCAGGGAAGACTAATAATAGGTCTTAATTTGTGTAAATTAATGAAAGGACTGCTACATTGCTCATCTTTTTTTTTTTTTTTTTTTTTGAGTTGCTAGCACTCCCTTCAGAAAAAACCAGTATCAGTCTATTAGACTAATAACTCAGTAGGGGAGTGAGAAGACATTGTTTATGGAGGCTGTTGTAGTCTTTCCAAATAACTTGTATGCTAGTTAAACTTGCATGTAGGTCAATGTTTACCTTATATTCTAAAGTAAACTCTTTCTCTTCTACCCACAGAATCTTCCCCCTTCAGCAGTAGCAAATGTTGGTGGCAAAATATTTACATTTGGTTCTTACAGGCTTGGAGTACACACTAAAGGTAGAACTTTCATTGTCTGGTCATAGTTCTAATGTTTGAAAGTGACTTCAAACAATAACAGAAGAAATGGAATCTCTTTGCAGGTGCTGACATAGATGCTGTTTGTGTTGCTCCTAGACACGTGGAAAGATCGGATTTTTTTCGGTCATTCTTTGAAAAACTAAAACATCAGGAAGAAATAAAAAATCTAAGAGTGAGTAAGCTCTCTCCTTGATAGATTGTGCAATTTCTACAATAAGAATATTCATGTTAAAGACTCATATTGGTAGTGAATGTCTTACAAGCCAAAATAAAAAAAATAAATTTTTTCTGAGCATCTTCTAAAATCCTGTTTTATGCAGCATGAAAATGTTGATGTCAAGCTTTTGGTTCCTTTCCCCAATGACTGTACATCACATAAGAATCTTTGTGGTACACTTCTCCCCTACCCATGGTTTGGGAATGAGTCAGCTGTATCAAAAAGCGAGGTTGTCCCTCGGAGCCTTGCTTTAATCTTAGCCTAGTCTTCCTTGTGCAGAGATTTTGAAAGACATCATATGCATAGCTAATGAGCCTTCGTTTAGGTGACTGTCACCTGAAAACAGACTCACAGTGGGCTGCAGCACACTTCTAACAAATGGTCTACAAAATGGAAAACTGTCCCATAAGGTAGCTGAGAGCATCTCAGGCATGGCAGAAAATAAAAATACAGAAGACTAGTGTGCACTGTCAAACATGGACAGAATTTTTTAGATTTCTCTGGATGTTAACTGGTAGTAAGATAACTACAGAAATCTTTTACTTTTCTTCCTCACTACCAAGGTAAGTTCCTTACAACCACTGATGCTGATGGCTCACTGTGCACTGTTTGTTCATTACAATACGTGATCAGCCTCTGAATCTCGTGGCTAAATAACTTTTTAAAGCTAGTATTAGTACCGTATTAGTGCTATACTGCTTGCAGCTTATTAGCAATTTTTTGGGTTCGGAAGCAACTCAGTCTTTATACTGAGTAGTTTAGCAGTGTAAATTCTGTATTTATCATAGTTTAGGAAAAACATTAAAGTACCAAAAAATATTTTCTTACAGTTATCCTCTCCTTTACAGGCAGTTGAAGATGCGTATGTACCAGTTGTCAAGTTTGAGTTTGATGGCATTGAGGTAAGCGTTTCTTTTTTTTTTTCTTTAAGTGAGTAAATTTTTCTTGCTTTGGAATAGGGTAACTTTTCTAGGAACCTGTGACTGTGCTATTTTTGACCACAACCTATCCCAGGAGAAGAAATTGCAGTAGAATGGGAGCATATAGGAAAATAAGCCCCTAGGAAGCCTGGCAGGCATGGGAACATCATCAGGGACATCTTTTTCTAAACCTGTGCTGTAGACCAGGGTAGCCTACTTGAGTAGCATTTATCTCACAACGGTTCTGCAGAGTGGGAGTAGATGCCGTGTCCTTGCTAACTCTTCTTAGCTCTGACAAGCTAGCTTTCTACAGAGGGATGTGTATAGTGTAGCTCACTATATGAATCATGTGAGCGACTAAATGAGTTGTTGCAAATCAAAAATGAAGCAGTCTTTAGACAATCTGGAAAATGAAAAGTAAAAGTACTCATTTGACTCCTGCCTAGGTTTGTCAGCTGCAGGAATCCCTCTGTCTTGAATACATCTTATACAGTGAATAAAGACCTGCATGCTGCAGTACCTAAGCGAGTTACTGCTTGGTATCACTATCATGAAGACCCTTATTCAATGACCTTTTTGTGGCCTTTATCTAGTACAGACATTCACAGAATAATTTTCTTGCCTCAGACTGTCCTGAAAAACAGATACTTCAGGATCAAAAGGGCTTACTGCATAAAGAAAATGCTCTCTCCTTTGCTGAAGTGTGCAGTCGAGGTGACTGAACTTATGTCTTAATTCTATCATTAATTTTAAGTTCCCTTTTAATGGGAATTCTAAGTTTAGAGTACCTTTTCAATTTAAAAATCCCCCTTCCTTTCCCTAGCTTAAAAAGAAAGGGGGGATGCAATGAAGGTTTTGTAAACAAAATATAGAACTTCTAGCAATTTTCTTGAGTTTTCTGTCAAATAAATGTCTTGGGAGATGTATCTATAGTCACGTAAGTCTAAATACAAATGTTAACAAAAAAGCTCTTTTTAGACTTGACTAACTGTCCCCCATTAGCGTGCTGTTCGCAAATAGTGCAGCATTCTAACTCATGGTTGGCACTTTTTTTCCCTCTTAAGATTGATCTTGTGTTTGCGAGACTGTCTATGCAAACTGTTTCTGATAATCTTGATCTCGGAGATGACTCGCGTCTGAGAAGCCTGGATATAAGATGTATACGAAGCTTAAATGGTAAGCATATTTACACATCCTTAAAAAAAATGTTACTAAAATTGGTACAGAATGCACATTACACAACCCAAGTTTCTGTACAAGATGCAGAAACTGATCTCCTGCATACCTGAGGTCTGAGGAGGTGGCAAGTGGGCTTAAATTTAGATATTTCAAGGAGTTGTGTCTTTAGATAGACCTGTATTTCATGTTTCTTTCATTAGGATGTGTGCATTGTTCCAGTTTGCCACAGAAACTGATTCAGATGAATAGGTAGAGCACTTGATGGCACAGAATGTGTTGTAGTTCATTAAAAAAAAAAAAAAATTTTAAATACCTGAAGCCTAACTTGCTTACTGTTTAACACTGGTTTAATTGTTCCTGGCTGTCGAAAGAAACGTAGCTTTCAGAATCCTGTAGAAAGGCCTTATTAAAAATTGTTGGCTGTAGCCTAAACTGTAAAAAAGCTGTTGAGGGCACCAGTTACCTGAAGTAACACTGAATGTTAGATGTAATCTATAATTTTTAAGGTAATACAAAGCAAGTAATCCAAACTTGTTTTCATAGACTTGAATGTTAAACTGTAAGCTATTGATCCAGTATAGCATAAAACTGACTTGTACGTGTTGCTAGGAACTTCTGTACTTTTTTCCTTCAGGCTGCAGAGTTACTGATGAAATACTACATCTAGTGCCAAATAAAGAGAACTTCCGGCTCACGCTCCGTGCAATTAAACTGTGGGCAAAACGTGAGTAATGTGATTGTTCATCATCTTTAAACTTTTCAGAGGCACCTCATGCTGAAAAAATAAGACCATTAGAAGTACTTCAGCTTTGGATAGCTGTTTAAATGACAGTTTTTAAACTAAAAATGGGTTTTAGTTTAGTTTCCCGGTCTGTCCATGTGGTAGATTCTGTGTGTTTTTTAATGGGGGTAGGGTGGGGAGGAGAGGGGAGTGCCTACAAGACAAGGTGCTCCATTGCTTAAGAGGAACCTGACTACAAATGCCCAGTTAAGTATAAAAGCTTGATACATAAGGAATAAGAAAATACCGTTTGCGCATGTGGCTAAAGCAAGAGCTAGAAGAATGGCAGAACTCTTTTCTTAAGGGAGGTTGGAGTGAAGCAGTAGCTGTAGCAGTGCAGGCACATTTCGGAGTAGCAGTATTTTGGGAAGTGGTGTGGTGATGATTCTTCTCATCACTGTAAGGACCAACAATTTTGGCCTCATTGCGCTGCAAAAATAACTGACTTTGAGGCTGAGGTGTACTAAGTATTCTATAGATTGTGAAGTTGGTGCTGTGAATTTGAAGGAATATACTTGGGTATTGAAAGACTACAGGCTAACTAAAATGTATCCATTCTAGGCCGTGGCATTTACTCCAACATGCTGGGATTTCTTGGTGGGGTTTCCTGGGCAATGCTAGTAGCAAGAACATGTCAACTCTATCCAAATGCTTTGGCTTCTACTCTTGTTAACAAGTTCTTCTTGGTTTTTTCAAAATGGTAAGAGCTGTTGTTTGTTTTAATTTGCATAAGGAAGTAACACTTCTAGAGGTAGTTCTTTATGTAAGATTTACATTGACAACATTCAATCCTACCCTGAATTACATGGCAAAGTTTTAAACGGACAGTTAGTTACTGGCTTTTCTTATATAGGGAATGGCCAAATCCTGTATTGCTGAAACAACCTGAAGAGAGCAATCTTAATTTACCAGTATGGGACCCTAGGGTATGTAGAAATTGAATTCAGACACCTTTAAACTTTCTTCTAACCTAAACTGATGCTAAGCAAAATTGTTTTAACATCATAGGTGAACCCATCGGACCGATACCATGTAATGCCTATCATCACCCCAGCCTATCCACAGCAGAACTCTACATACAATGTATCTACATCAACGCGAGCGGTAATGGTAGAGGAGTTCAAACATGGTAAAGTTCTTTCCGTGCTTATTAACTTATTAAAAAGTATGATTCTTGCTATACGAAACCACACGATCTGAATTGGTGATATTCCGCGAGGTGTTCTGCCCTTTTAGGTAGAATAGGTCTCTGGGAGATACACCTGTTGCAGGCAATAAGGGACCAGTTTTACAACGAACTGTTGTAGTAGACCTGCATTGTGTGAAGGGAATCCCTGCTTTTTGATCTGTCAGTTACTGTCCAAAACCTTTATCTTGTAAAGTTTATATCGTGCTCTGCTAGTCTTAAACAAAATGGTAATAAGGTTTTCAACCTTAATTGTAGGTCTTGCAGTTACAAATGAGATTCTCCAAGGAAAGTCAGACTGGTCAAAGCTCTTTGAACCACTGAACTTCTTTCAGAAGTACAAGTATGTATGAAATCTGTTGTCTGAACTTGAAATGATTTACTTACTGATTAGAATAGTGAGTTTTAACTTGCAGTCTAAATAGAAGAGGGTATTAATGTTTGTTTTTCAGAAACTGGAGGTAGTGTCATAGGAATTTTGGTAAGGATAAGTATAGGGAAGATAGAAAAACTGTATGTGTTATGCCACTGACACTGTTTTTATTAGAAAAAATCAACTATGATATTTAGAATATAGCAGAATGCAGTTCTAAAGGATGTAATCAGTTTTTCTTCAGTTAATATTCAGGATATAATCTGTCTTGTCTGGAAGTCATATTCTATACATTTAAGGCAATTTTGGTTTCACTTGAAGGAATATGAAGTCCTGAGCTAGTATATTAATTTTCCTTTTCTAGACATTATATTGTGCTGACTGCTAGTGCCTTTACTGAAGACCATCACTTAGAGTGGTAAGTCTTGCTTTAAACACGGGTTCAATACATAATTGAAACGCAATTCAATGTTGCACTCTATTTTTGTTAACTGTATTAACAAATGAATTATTAAACTGTGCAACTAGGCATGGAATACAGTACCAAGTAGACAGTTCATCAGCAAAATTAAAAGTAGTGTCCCAACTTTTTTGATTGCGCACTCCTATCACCAAAAAAAATTTTTTTTAATACATACTTGCAATATATATCTACTTATTTACAAGTTACATACACATTACTGAAGTTCTGATATTTTCTTTCCGTATGCCAGTGGATTGTCATGTGCACCCCCTGGGGTACACACTCCCCCACTTTGAAGACCACTGTTTTAGAGCCTTAGAAGACTTGGTTTCATAACTTTTTTTACTGGATGTAATATTTAATTTAGGACTAGGTTGCACTCAATGCAAAGTTGCTCTGGTTATGTAGTCAGTCTATTCCAGAACTTACTTTTCTCCTGTGAAATGAAGCAAGGCTGTTTAATCTGGGTGAAACCTGACAGTCTGTGCAGAGCATCTGAATGCTAATAAATCGTATTTACTAAGTTTTAATCTAGTGGTGTGCTCGGACATCTTACGTTCAGTGCTGAAAATGATCACTTCAGGGCGCTTGGTAGTGGATTGGTAAATTGCAGGAGTGCTGATCTACTTTGTGAAAATTAATGTGAGAACCGCCTCAATTGTAGTTAGAGGAAATGACTGCTTATAACGTGGTATTTGTCACTGTCTCAAGGGAGATATGCCGACAATAACTTGTTTAACCTATGTGAATGTGCTGACTAACTGTGAATCTTTAAATAAGGGGAAATGGTGAGGAATTAAGGTACTGTAATGTGTGTGGTGTTCTTAACTTTGCAATGGTATTCTTTGTTAAGAAATGAGTACTTTGCCTGCTTTGCTCAAGTGAGCATGCAAAATAGCTCTGTGTAACAGACCTCTGTTCTGAGGGCACCTTGGTTATACTGCAAAGTTTGGCTTGTGCTTTAAGGCAAATAATTTAATTCTTGTGGTATCTCTAAAAGACACCTTACTTCATGTTTAAAAATAGCTCTAATAGATAATACCTTTTACCTGATGTCAGTCACAGTTAGGTGTACAACAAGGAGTTATGGGCAGAGGGTTTAGAGCCAAATAATTTTTAATGTGAAATGTTTTTAAGTGAACAAAGCTTATTGAATCTCACGATAAAGATAAGGGAAGTTCTGGCTCCAGTAAAGGCTGATGTTTTTGCAGTGACAGAAATGGAGGCATATGGGTCTTAGTTTTGCATCTGGGAAAACTAAAAAGCAGCAGATAAACTTGCTTCGGTTTGTCTGCTATAAGAACAAGTTTAGTTCACCAACTCTTGAATGGATTTGGGAATAGATAGCACATCTCTGTTGTTCATCAACATAAGATACTTTTGAAGAACGTACAGATTTCTGACTGCTTTCAAAGTTAGCAGTGTTCTGGGTAAAATGCCAGTAATTTATTTAAATGAAAAGCCTTTGGGGTCATGATTTGTTTCTTGGGTAAGTTTCTGATGAGACTGTGTTGACTAGATCATTTGTTTATTAAAGGAACTGTATTTTTCAATTTGGCTAGAAGAGGGTAAACTCTCTTCGCTGATCAATCTGCAGGAAGAATTGCATTTTTACTCAGGTGTAATTGAACAGTTGTGCTTGAGCCTTTTCTAAACTGCTCTTCTCCTTGATCTTTGGGGTAAAAAGGAGTCTTGCTGCACTTCAAAATGCAGCCAGAGGTGCTGGGATCTGCTTCTTGTTGATATTTTCATCATTGGTTATAAGTTGAAGTGTTGTATCTGAACTGTTAAGAGTACAAGTTAAACTTACTTACCTCTGTCTTTGGAAACTTTAAAGCTCAGTTGTCCCTGGAAACATCTCAAAATACAGTGTGTGAGATATAAAAATCTAGTATCTGCTCAGCTGAATGAAACATACTACTTACTGATTGGTTAGCATTTTTGTGTTAGCATTGTAGTATAAAAAGGCATTTAACTACTGTGCTGGATACTGTTACAAATGAGTAAATATCTCTTGTTCTTAATAGGATTGGCCTTGTCGAATCTAAAATTCGTGTGCTGGTTGGAAACTTGGAGAGGAATGAATTTATAACTATTGCACATGTAAAGCCACAGTCTTTCCCTGGCAACCAAGAACTCTGTAAACAGTGAGTTTCGTTATTTTTCTGAAATACAGTTTGGCCGATGTATTGTAACTTGTTTGTATTCATTCACCTCAGCTCATCTGTGAGAGACGTTCAGTTACGTACCTGCTGTTTTATAGATACGACAGGCAAGGTTCTGAGCATGTAAGATCTTTTTAAAGAGGGGAGAACTTCAGAGCGAAGTACTCTGAGAACTTAAAGATTAGAGTCAGTCCATACTTAACTGCTCCATACAACTAAACTGTTTTGCTTAATCCCTTCTTGAGAGTAGATTCTAGCATCCAAATAACTGTGCATAAATGATAGATTTGTGAATCTGTCTTTTTAGGAGTGGATATGTGTCAATGTGGTTTCTTGGAATCGTATTTAGGAAAGTGGAAAATGCAGAAAGTGTTAACATTGATTTAACGTATGTTATACAGTCGTTCACAGATACAGGTAAGCCTATAATTTGCTCTAGTCTTGTAGGCCTTCATTTTTTTTATTCTAGTGGAAGTTGCTTCACAAAGTGAATTGTGCTTCCTTCTGCTATTAGCCATTAGATATTTCTATAGAGAGCAACATAGAGAAGATTAGCTTTAAAAACGTACTATTCTGACTTTGGCAAAGTAAGTCCATCTTGAAACAAAAGTGTGTACTACAGTCATACACTATATACTATATGTGAAATAATAACAGTTCTGCAGGTCATGGTAAACGCACATGTAAACAAAGGAACTGCATTTCATAAAGTGACAGTCAGATGTGAAGCCAGGAGATGCCCAATTAGTGGGTGTAGCTATGCTCGTCAAAAACAGTTGTCAATTGCTGAACTTTGAAAGTGGGAATTAACTGTATCAGGGTCTAAAATAAGTTGTTAACGCCTGTTGACAGTATCTTTCCAAGATAACAGTTTGTGTATGATATGATCCCAGAACTTTGAAAGTCAGTGAGTTGTCACATTGTAATTACATGCAGTCTTGCATGTAAACCTTTGTGTTCATCTTCTGTTATTACTTTTGATAGATGTAGAAATAAAGTAATATTGCAAGCGTTGCTACATAATGCTAGAATAACGGGGGTTTGGGGTGAGGAGTTGTTTCAAAGCATAGGTCTTTTCCATAATCTGTTTACTTTTTCCCAAGCTGACTGCTCTTGTGCCTTTCAGAAGCGCATGTGTGCTGTCAGGCTCATGCCTAGCTATCATAATGAAGAACTAAGGAAATCAGGTTACTCTTCTGAAGTGGCAAGTGTCTTTGGACAGAGAGTTCTAAACAGTGGACTCCTTTAAATGGTTGTTTGAGCTGATGAAGAGTTTATCCATAGTACCAGCATGAGCTGTGTGTTGGCTTGCTCAGACAACATGAGTAAAAGCAGTAAAACCTGACCTTTTTAGCTCATGCTTTGGGATGTGAGAAAAGCACTGAAAAGTGCATCAAAACTCTTGTCTGAACTTCAAGCCAGGTGGGGTGACTTCCTCAGACTTGCACTGTTATCTGTACTGATGCTTGTCTTATATGTTACATCCAGTGGCACTGTGTTTCAATGTTGTGGCAAATGTAAATTATGTCAACAAGGTTTATGTACTGCTAAGAGGCTAGAACTAATGTTAAATCCTTTATTTCTATGCACAAACTTTATTAGTATAGCTATGTGCTCTTAGTTTAGTGAAGCACAGCCTATAGCACCCTTCAGATATAGGGTTTGAATCCAGAGAGATTGAGCGGAAAAGGTATTTCTTGAGAGGTGTGAAATCCTTTGGCAAATGTGGGAGTGACCAGAAGTTACGTGCAAGAAAGCTTTTATCATGTGCCTTGACTTTGAGAGAATATTTTTAGAGGGCAAAGATTAACTTCAAGTTGATGGCCTCAAGGATATAAGGCTCACTGTTTGGAAGGCTTTTGTTAAGTGAACTTTATTTCGCTTTTACATAAAAACATTACTGAGTTTACTTTGAAGCAACTGTTCATATTGGTGTGAATGTTCATATTTTTGTGCTTTTATTTTACTTCTAGGCCTCCTCTAGAAAGGCTTAAAAGCCTTTCTGTTGCATGTCCTTACTTTGATTCCCACTCTGTTTGTTAGTAAGCCGACTTTCCAGTTATGCTCATGATAGGCCTGTTAGATAAGCTTATCTAAATGTGACTTAATTCTGTAATAACTGCTGTGCTAGCCTTTTAAAGTTGTATAAAAGTCTGTTTGCAGGCAGTTAAGAAAAACCTGTTTAAATTGTACTGATTCTGATAAGTCAGATGTCCCTAAAATCCAGTCTTACTTTCGCGGACAGGTAGAATTTTAACATCTAAACTACTGAGAAGTTATATGATGTTACAGAACTGTTACAAAAACCCCACCATAAATATCAAATAAAAAATTAGTCTGAATCTTGAGTAAGGTGTCTGGTCTCTCATCGGCTGTGCACAATTGGGTTGATTAGAAAGTTCTCTAAATCTGTTCTCAACCAGAAAACTAATGGTTAAGGAGTGTTATCTCCTTCCGGTTAAAATCAACTCATGTGAGCTGCATGTAACTGAGCACATAACAGCTATTTAAGTTCAAATATGCATTTATATATCTGGTCTGTACTGGATGTGAAATGGGCATCTTAGGTCACATTCATCTTCTCGAGACTATATGTGGAGTACTTGGGTAGCACTTTGTGTTAGGCTGGAAACTTCTTGCACTTTGTTTGGGCTGGACAGACTTAAAGGCTTGCTGTTTCTAAAGAAACCGTATGTAACTTTGACAAATACCTAATGCAAACACACTCACTAAGCTACAACATTACATTTCATGTTAGTTTACAGACAGGCTAACAACCTCAACGTGCTAAAGGAAGGTATGAAGATTGAGGCAGCTCATGTGAAGAGAAAGCATCTCCACTATTTTTTGCCTGCAGAAACCTTGCAGAAAAGAAAGAAGGTATAGCAAAAATTTGGCTCTTCTGGCAATTTTTTTTTGCTTTAATAATTACTTGAAGACTTCATTATTTTTTTTTTAATTGTTGTTTCAGCAAAGCATGCCAGATATTAGTCAAAATGCTAGTGGGCTTCAGTGCAAAAGGACTTCTTCAGATGGAAGCTATTTGGACAGTTCCAGAGACACGGACTCCAGAACACCATATAATTCCTCTTCATTAAATAAGATATCTAAATTGGACACCTCTACAGTGGAGACAGAAAGGTTAGCACCATAACCTTAGAACCGTGAAGAAGCTGCTTTTAACTGACTCACAATGTGAACGAGGTCTAGGATTTCTTGTTTGAATCTATGTGGATCACAAGCATGTGGAGGGCTCTAATGGCTTCAGGAACAAAGCTGGCATCTCCTTTGGGCACGTGGGGGGAGACAGTTTAAAGAAATCCTTGAAAAAATTAATTTAATATGCATGAACACATAGGAGTGAACTTGATACCAGAGAAATTATTTGGTCTTGAATATAAATCCCCTTAGGTTAGTACGTAACTTGAAGCTGGAGTGTTTTATGTGCAGGTAACTCTTCTTTGTAACTAAAAGTATGGTTAATGCCAAGCACTATTAAGTTCTAACGAAGTGCTGATCTTGATCACAGAAACACTAGAGCTGCTGCTGACTTAGTGGAGCAGTATGAGAACTCGGGCAGCAAAAGCGTCTGTCACTTCCTGGGAAGTCTGTTTGTCCATAAGCTACTTCAGCATACGAGGAATATGTAATTTTGAGGGTAATAGCCCAATACTACCAAATGTGTAATGCCTGCTGTATTCAGACTGTTTGGTACTGTGAGTAGCATTAAAAAAAAAAAAAAATTGGGTGCACCTGTGGGTAGAGCAGATACCTTCATTAAAAGCAGCACAGAGTGCTGGATATACTAAGCTGGGAAACAGTACCAGTACATAGAGACTCACTAAAGAAAATGCTTAAGTTTAAATTCACAGTCTGGAGTTCAGCAAAATGAAGATCTTGTGCTAGATTGCCTGTGAGTTTGTGTTGTTAAGTAGGGCTGTGACAATGAGCTAAGGAGGTAAATGTTTGTCTTGCATCAACTTTCTGGAAATGAAATGTATAGTATTTTACAAACTAGCATTTTATAACTCCAGCGTCTGACTTTTACAGAAATACTGTGTATCAGAGATCTAATTGTGCTAACAATAGAGAGAAGATACCTCATGTGGCTGTGCCATTGGTGTCTAAGGGACTCTCCATTCCTGTTATTGATTCAAGTATGTATTGAAGTAGTGGGTGGAATGCAGTCTTTAATTTCATGGCTGAACTCTAAAAGCTCGGTGTCTCCTACAGAAATGGAGACTGCAGTTGCAATAAGAACATCGGGTCGTCCAATTGCTTGCACCATTCCAGGACATAACACAATTTCTCAACTCAGAGCACGTTTTGTCCAAGGACAGCATGAATTAAGTGGGACTCCAATTACAGATCCGAAGAACGCTGCACCTAAACGACCTTATTCACCGACCCCTAAAGGATATCATTCACCTACATCAGAAGAATGCCCCAAAAAGACTGTAGACGAAGACAAGGTAAGGAAGGGGGGCTAGGCCAGGGAGGGTTTGAAGTGGTATTAACTGTTGATGTAGAATGAATGAAATAACTGAGAAGAAACGCATATATACATCCCCAACGGATTCAGGAATCTAAATTTAAGCATAATGATAATTTTACTAGGATGTAGATATGGGAAATTGTATTGGATATAATGTATAGCTATTAAACAATTTTTTTTTCCAAGATCTGGCACTAGTGACTGTTTCTGGTCTGGTGGCAGGGTCTCTAAATACTACTGTACTTATATATTACTGCACTGAATGAACTGGCTCATTTGAAAGCAGTTCTTAAAACAATTCAGAAAAAAATTATCTCAAAACGAAGAGGATATGAGTCTTAAAAATGTAAAAGTATGAGCTAATCTTGTTCTGGCAGATAATTTTTGAATGCCTATTGATAGTTTTGCTGCTTTAGAAATCAGCAGCCTACTCAATAGGTCGTCCACTGCTGAAATGACAGTGTGGAGTTGCTTGTTAAATCTTGGTTTTGTGGAAACTTTAGATTAATGCTTGATTTGTTTTATTGCTGTATATAAATCTCCTTAAATAGCTGTTCTTGTGGTTTGACCTCTGATTTGAGGCAGAGGCAAAGAACAGAGAGAAAAAATTCAATTTTGATGCTTGTAAAGAATCAGCTTGCAGAACTGTTATCTAGTATTGAATATTTCAAGTACAAATTTCAAGGTTTCGGCAGTGAGACTTTTTGAGAGGCTTGAGATTCCTGTGTGGTAATGGTAGTCTTGTCTAAATATTGTTTTAAGAATGGCCATTAATATATTTAATGTATTGAATGGAAGCTGTACCCAAATATGAAGGTAACTTTAGTATAGCAATTATTTTGAGTCTGTGTATTCCGTTCTTCTAGTTAACTGGCCAGGATTCAGCATTCAAAGATGGTGGCAATCCAGAAGATGTCAGGAGAGGATCTACAGAAAATGTAATTTTGAAGTGGTTTTACTTAGTGCACTAACTGAAAAGCTGAATGGACTGTTCTAGGGCCTAGACTACTTCACATAAATACTCTACACATTTAATGATGTAAAGAAAAATATGCTTTTTAGTTTAAGTTATTTCAGTCTTCATTTCCCAAATATTACACCTGTATGACCTATCTTTTAAATGTTACTACTAGATGATTTGGTAGTATCTAGCTTCTTGCCATGCTTGAAATCAGATTTTTTTTTTTTTTGACCATTTGATTCACTGATGTAAACTAAAACTACTATAAAGACTAAAGCATTTGGCCTCTCAAAGGGAGGATAAAGAGCTCTATACTTAGTGTAGCTTGCTACTGAAGCATGAGCTCTTGAGGGCACACCCTCAAATCAAGATGTAGTCTCGTTGGTAGAGTGAAGGTTGAAATACCTGAAATGCTGTATGTGTGCTTATAGGGCTTAAAAAAAAAAAAAAAACAAAAAAAAAAAACCCAAAAAAAACCCCCCAAAAAACCGCAACCCAAACAAACAAAACAAAACAAAAAACCCACCCACAAAAACCCGAGGTGGAGGTTGTCAATCCATGTACATATTTAGTTTTTTTAAGTATACTAGCTGCCAGACGGTGCTATCATTCAAGTCATGAATTTGACAATAAATAAATTGCCTAATAAATCCCTTCTGGCTTTTTTAGGGTGTCCTTGGAGGAAAATCCATGCTGATTCCAATTATCAACACATCCAGGTCACAGGTATTATTTATTGTGCCTTTGTGTTCATAGGTAAAGCAAAACTAGGACTTTTATTTTATGTACAAAGACTTATGTAGTATTAATCCCTGTAAACTTGGTGGTTCTAGGTAGTTGGTAAGCTTTTAGCTGTCACGCTTTCACCAAATTGAATAGCTGAACACTGACCTTCCAGGTTTACTCACAGAAGTGAAGCCAAAGTTCCCAAGTTATTGAACTTGAAAAAATATGTTTCTGTGCACTTAAACACTGACACAGTTTGTTTCCTGATTTGCTTTTTTCTCAGGCAAACAAATCTGTATTCCTTGCAGATCTTCCATAAGGTGATCTGAGCTCTTATTATCTTAAATACTTGTATACTGATTTCTGTGACAAGACTCAAAGCTTTGAAGTGTATAAGTGGCTTTATCTCTTCTGTGTCATATAAAATGTTGTGAAATTGAGGGTTATAACACTGGAAGTAATCTGGACAGTAGAGAGACTTGGTTTTCCTGATCCATGGATCTGAGAAGAATGGTAGCCGCCTCTGCTGTTGAGCAACTTGCAACTTATTTCCCCCCCTGAGGAATATAATTATCTCAATTGATGCCAGGAAAGAAGTGGGCAGAGGGGAAAATGCTCTTCCTCTGTAAACTGGTGGTAACTAAAGTGGTGTGGTGAAAAAAAATCCTTCTCTGTAAATATTTGGGTTTGGGCCATACTGTTTTGGTACATAAAGAATGTTGTTTTATTCAGCTAGGAAAGGGTTTATCTGCTGCTACTTCTGAATTAATGAATTTTAAAACTTCCTTCTTTTTTTTCCCCTGTGGCATCTTTTTGTGTGTTGTAGAGGCTTTCCAGTAATGAACTACCGGATTCTTCATCTCCTGTTCCAACAAATAGTATTCGTATTATTAAAAGATCCATCAAACTTACCCTGAACGGGTAACCGGTATCTCTTCAGGTAAAGATGATAATCACTTGTTTAGTGGTCCATATTATCAATGTGTATTGTAGTTACTAACAAAGTATGGAAAGTTACTGTTGCCATACTGCAATTGGCCAGTTAAAATCATGGTCTTATTTTATAGTATTGTTAGATGCTTGCTTCCTTTTGAACTACCCTTTGCATATTCTTGTAACAGTTATCCTTATTAGTCTTTTTAAAAGTCTTAACTGTCACTAGCTGAAACAGCTTTTGAAAAAGCCACGAAAAACAACCTGTCCTGTGACTTGGATTCAGAATGTATGTAAACAGGGTTAACTAGTCACTGCAACCACATTCTGGTTTCAAGTGTGTATGAACGTGCTTGTATTCATTTGTGCTTTCCTAGTTCATGTGCATATATTGTTCTTATCTTAAATTATTTTCCCGTTTGGCACATACACTCTTGTGCATCTATCACAATGGTGCTCAGCTTCCTCAGCTAGTAGCTTTCCACTGTCTAGCACAGCTATGCACTACACAAGTATTGCCTCCCATGGAGGCCCATAAATAATATAAATATTGAAGAAAATGCAGCAGAGGATGCTACCGAGGTATGGAGATGATAGCCATGTCCCATGCCATCTGATTTTTGTCTTAAGACTGCTCCAGCGTGAGACTTGAGGTTTTTTTGTTGTCACTAGGTAGTAAAGCTAAACTCAGAACACACAGCTGAAGATGTATTTAAACATTGCAACAGCTGAGGCTGTTGTGACACTACTACCCACCTGCAAGCTGCAGACTTGAAAGCAACTGGCCTGCAGAAAGTGATTTCATATAAACCCTGAAAGCTGTTCTAAATGGTTACATGAAAACCTGTAGTAGTCTTAAGTCTGGTTCTGTAAACTGATAACACTGCTTACCCAGTTAAGTGCATTAGGGTTTTTTGAGGGGTGGGGAGAAATTCTGATCATATGAAGCAAATGTTATGCTATCTCTCTATTGTAATTTCTTTATCATTTGGTGTTTTTGTAAATGAAGTTGTATGTTTTTTCAGAGTATTTTTGTATGTACTGTAAAATACTATCTTCCAAAGAGAAACTTAAAATCTTCAGTCTCTTTTTTTTTTTTTAAATGCAGATGGGATCTGCTTAAAAAACTCAAACAACTAAACCAAATGTAAGGCGGGGAGCAGTGCCACAAAAACCCATGTTCTGCAAAATGATAAGCTCATGCTAGAGTAAATTTGAGGAGACTAGGAACACTGCTTTCCTGCTTCTAGTATTTCCAGGTTTTGAATTAACACCCTCTGAATAGCGCAGTTTGCAAACTGCGTTGACAGCTGAAGTCCCAGTTTGCTATTGTGGACAACAGATACCCCTGAATTCTTTTAAAATGAGTTGCTTGGCTTAAACGGCAATTCTGAGCTCTGATCATCTTAAGCATCCACCTAAAACCCTAGTGACGAGACTGAAGGACTGTAAAGGAGTAAGAAAAGGCATGTATCTTGTAAGGTCTTCATTCTGTAGCATTCCCCCTACTGCTAGTATTCCAAACTTGTGGAGAAAGCATGACTATATTTATTACAATATACTTAGGTTTTTCCTTATTACCTCTGGTTTCCAGCTTGCTTCCAGTGCAATTTATCTCTTGGAAAATTGGCCTTAGGGGGTTTGAGAGGTCCTATTCATTCCTCTCCCCTCAAAAAAACCCCAAAACTTAGACTGCAAGGCTTAGGTTTAGTCACAGGTTACAATTAAGAAACAGAACCCATGTTACTGAAGTGGCTTTTAGCAGAACTACACCTTGAGTTTATAAAATGGTTACTTCAGTTTTGTGACCTGTGTTAAACCCATGGTATTTAAATATTGTCAAGTCTGTGTGCTAGTTCAGTATGTATACAACTTCAGCACCTCTGTAAATAAAAATCCATCATGAATTTGAAGGAATTAAAGCTGAAGTAGATAAGATAAGCAGCAAAGCAAATATGAAAAATAAGTGTTTTATAATAATCTACAACCCTGTAATATTACCAAGCTTTTAAACAAATTCTTCCACTTGAGTATTCTAAGACTGTTAAGGGCTGTTTTGCCCTTAAGCTCTATGTCAGCACATGCATTTATGCAACTAGTCTCAAACTAACCTAGCTAATAGATATCAAAGTATATGCCTTTACATAGATTTTTTTTTTTTTTTAACTCTTGCTTTGCAGTTATCTTCTAATTTCTCTTACTTTTCTTTTTCCCCCCTCGCTCTTAGGGTTTTAAGAAGAATGTTTAGGAAGAATTTAGGTTACTAATTTCTCGGACTTGATCCAGCATAGGTGAGATCACACACTTTATCTTAACATACCCTGACTCAACGCTTGGCCCAGTACAGAGTGACATCACTGTTCTGGAGTTTCCCTGGATGTTGCAGAAGTTCGATACTGCCCCAGGACTATGCAGATTAGACTTCAGCTGTTTTAAATAAAGTTCAAACTGCAACCATTCAACTTAAATGTTTTCCTTCGTTTATGGAGCAAGTCCTCTGTTAAAGTGATTGAAAGTTACTCGTGCATAAAGACTTAGTGAGGGAGGCTCTCTGATATCAGACTTCCTGCAAGCTTTGCTGTTTTCTATCTGCTTTCTTAGCTGGTTGCTCTATGTGTGGCTTGGAGGTCCAGATGGAAGGGGTGAGGGGTGCATGATCAATCTCCTTAAAGAGGAGCAGCTCTGTATTGAAACTGTGTATGGTTAGTACTTTGAGCAAGAAATTCCGTTGCAGGAATTAACATCTCCTGTGGTTTTATTTGCTAGGTATAAGCACAGAAGCAGTTAATGTGAAGTCACCTACGCTCTTGCTGTTGCAATGGATGTCCCTGTAGAAACTAAGAGAGAAAGTAATAGAATACTTTTTGCCTTAAGCAAAGGGGTAAAAAAAAAAAAAGTATCTTGAAATTGTTAATCGTGACTTTGGGAGAAAGGGTGCTTATTAATACTGCCTTTATGTAATGCTTAGTGACATAAGCTCTTTAGCCTAAAAACACAAGCAAAAACTCCTAGCTGTATTTTTGCAATTACCTCATCACACTTCTTATACAGAGTCTGGTCCTATGCATTATTCCAGTAAATGAAAAGCCGTGGTTTTGTGCTATGTATCTGTGTGCAGCCGAGGGGCTAACAGCCACCCTGGGCTGGGGGCACTCCGTGCCCTGTCCCCGGAGGAGATCAAATGGCTGTAGGGTGCACCTCGGTCTGAGCAATAACCCGCTCCTGTGAAAACGGGCATCTTCCTCTCCCACAGGACCACCCCAGCGGGCTGCAGCCTCGTCCCTCCATCCGCCCACCGCAGAGCGGCTGTGGGGGCTGCATGCCCTTTCCCCAGCGGGGAGAGCCGGAGCCGTGGCCCAGGCTTCCCACGCTGGGGCGAAACGTTGCCTGCCGTAAGGCCCGTGGCGGGGGCGGGCTGGGGGCCGAGACCTGCGTGCGCTGTGACGGTGCTGGCGTGTGACTGCACCGCTGCAGCGCTCTGAGGGCAGGCGGCGGGGAAACACCGCTGCAGCCTCTGCTGCCTGCCACCCCTGACCACCGGCCTGGAGGGCTCGGGGGGACCAGCCGCAGCCCCCGGCTTTCCCCCCTGGCTCTGCTCTTGCTCTGCCTTTCCTCGGATCCTGCTGGGCCAGGCTAGACTAAGCAGAGCACAGTGGGGTGTTTTCCAGCCTGGGGCTGCTGAGCACTCCTTGCTGCCTCCTAGCATGCCGGTCAGCGTGGGCTCCCCTTCCCCAGGGCTGAGGGTTTCTTCAGCCATCAGCTACCCCTGGGGTGCCAAGCTCTGAGCGTGGCTCGGGGCTCCAGGCTGCTGGACCTTGTGTGTTTTTCTGGAGGCATCTTAGAAAAACAGTAGCCTGGGGGCTGATTTTTTCTCTTGTGCCAGAAAATACAGCCTATTGACCTTTCAGCTGTCTGACCTTCAAGAAATTGATAGAAATCAAGAAAATCAAACTGGGCCTGCTCTTCCTTGGGCAGTTCCTCTTTGCTGGGAAGACCCTGTCTGAATCATCCTGCTCTCTTCACCCAACCTTGCTTCTTATTCACACCTCATCTCTTTTCATTGCATCTGATCTCAGGCTCTTGCCCGTCTTCCTTTCTCTCTGATAACTCACATCTTCCTTTCTTGCCCAAATCCATCTTTGCTTCCTCTGCATTTGAACTGGGTGGTACTTTATTCTGTGCCAAAGGAGTGAAAAATCCCGGGAGTCCTGAAACCAGAGCAGAAATAACCTACCCTCTTTCAGTTTTAGTGTGTGGCAGCCTGGCAATCAGCTGCCTACTGTGGGGACCATCCAGCTTGCTCTCTGCAGTATGTGCGATGGAGAGAAAGCTGAAAATTTTGGCTACTAAGCAAGTCTGGCAAGCATGTGTAAGTTCAGTCTTTTCAAAGGTTCAACACATGCCCAGATACATGTGTCTCTTCAAAGGAAGAGCAAAAAATCCAATAGTGACACCAGCACAGCCTCTGTGCTAAATTTCACGTTCCCGTTTCTGAAATGTGAAGAAGTTAAGAGTTTCTTAATAAAAGTTATAAGGATTCTTTGAATATAATTAAAGCAGCATATGTTCCCCATGATCATTCTTAGAAATCACTGAGTCATTTTTGTTCTGGTTTTCCTAAAAATTAGCTGGAGGTGCAGTATATGTAATCATACTCCAAAGAAAAGTTTTTGGCAAACTTGGAGTAACTGAAAATGTGGCCTTAAAATAGGAAGTGTTACTAGCCATAACCAGCAAAGTGCGTTGATGATAATGTGACAAAAATAAAACATCTTTCAAATCATGAACAATAGGAAGATCATGGATACGATATTTTCTGTAGAGTGATTGTTTGCAGTAACTTAGCTGAGAAAATCAAATGGGACAAAAATATACCTCTGGGAGTTGCATTTTGAGGAAAATGAGTATGTTGCAAACAGCTAAATACTAGCAATGAGAAGGCAAGGGAATCCCCTGTTTCTGTTCCCCTGTTCACCCACTAAATAAATCACA